GGGATAACTCGATTGGTGGGTGGAGACAACGTTCATGGCCCAACTACAGCTTTCCAAGCTATGCCTTAGCAACCGATACACCACCTCCAATGGCTACCACGATCTTGTGCAGCGCATCACATGGCCACTAAGGCACTCATCCTGCAAACAATCGAAGAACTAGCAAGAACAAGTATAACAAGTACTGAATTTAATAGATGAAGATGAAGGTTTCAAACTCAATCTCAAATAAGGTGGGGTTCCGGATACAAGAAGTCGGGCGACTGATCCAGCATGCTGCGCTTACAAGCAAGTAGCGAGAGTTAAACCTAATCTAAACAAAACCCAACTATTCTTGGTGGCGGCTAAGGGGTATATGAAGGTGGAAGGATGACCACCAGTGTGTTGGGGTTGTCTTCCAACCCTAGGACGCGTCCCTAATGGACCCGACTTGATACACGGCCCATTGGGCCAAACTAAGGCAACGCGACACCTTTGGATAGAAAACCACTTGGTACATCATTGCGGCTACCTCAGAATAGATATGGACTTGATTCTAGATCCATGTGAGAATAGACTTCATAAGGATTTTATGAAGTACTTGAATGCCCCAATCCGAGTCCGTATGCGACTGTGGCGACCATCACAAGTTGGAGCTATCCTGGAGTCTAAATCCAGCCTACGCGAATCATTTTCCCTTAATGTCCTCTCCCTGGTTCCTAACCAAAATAAGAGTGCATGTGTCTCAGGGTCTAAATATGATGGACAGGAATTCAAGAGTGAACTTACTTGATGATTAAGTTGACGAGCACGGGCGCGAGTAATAGGACCAGAAACTGGTACTTGTGTCGGCGTGGATGTCTCGTTGGTGGTGATGTCCTCATCAGGACTCAAGTGATATTTTGTAAAACATGAGAGGCTTAAAATGCTTCGGAGCTTGCCTTTGATAAAAGAAGTTAGCCTATGGTCTCGGCACTTGGGTAAGTCTTCAAGAGTTTGCTCCTCTCCTTCTGGAGCTACGGCCTGAGGTGCCTCCTGTTGTTCCTTTGGCTCTTCTTTGAAATCTAACAGAGTTATCCCTTTGGACGATCCTATATGCATGAGCATGAAATAAGATATAATGGATGCATATATAATGACATGTATATTATGATATAATGTGATGAATGCATCCTCATAAGTGTTCACAACAGCATTGCATTAAGGTGATAACAAGTTACATTTTCTTTTATTGAGTAGGTGCATATCTCTTCTCTAATAACTTAAATAAACACTTATGTAAATTATTTTCAGGACTACAAGACAGCAGCCAATTGTTTTGACCATAACTAGAGTTAAACACATAAAAATAATTTGGTTGTGAACATTCTGGAAAGATTATGAAATTTGTCTACGACTTTATTTTAATCATCTTAATGTGATTCAGCAGTTATTTAGGTCAAACAATTCAATCTTTTAGTTCTGTCTAGAGAACTAGCATTTCTGATAGCCTAACTAATTTATTTATATTCCTTTATTAATTTTCTTATATAATAAGATGATTTACAGGATAAATATTTCCTGTGCTCAAGAAATTCTAAGAAAATTATAGTAGCTTACATATGACCCTAGTAGTCTACTGTACAAATGTAATGCCATTTGGATAAGTATAGTCACCTCTACAAAAATGATAATTTACATATACTTATTTTAGCAAAAATAGTTATGCACATACTCAGTAAAAGTGTCAAGCAATAGATTTAATATTGTTTTTACTTTTCTCCTAGCATGAGAATACTGTGTAAAAATTTGTATGATCATATGTTATGTATTTTTACCCCATTTATTTTCACTAGATACTAGCAATTAATTAAGATTAAATAGGAAGACCATATTTCAAGTATGCTTACTATAGGTTTAATGTTTTTTCTAGCTAGAGAATGTCAATACAAGACCAGCAAAATTAGAATCATAATTTTATCACCTTCCTAGCTCAAGATATGTGTTTTACAAGATATAAACTAATTTAAAAGCACTTATCTTGCTCAATTTAATTCTCCTAGAAAAATACCCAAAGTAGTAGATTTCATATTTTTATCAAATAGTACACATCAAGATGAATCTAAAAAATTTGGGTCACCCCATTTGGTTACTCTTAGCTCAAGATATAATTTTTGCAAATTAGCAACAAAATCTATGAAAAATAAAAATCAAATTTCCACTCGGGCGCTACAGCTAGGTGCACCCGATCCATACACCCCATTGTGATTGATGCGCGGGTCCTGCAATCAACCTGGCCCCATGCATCGTCAGCGAGGCCGAGGCAGAGGCGGTGCTTGATCGGTGGTAGCGTCACCACCGACGTGTTCCCCAACTCAGTCCGCATCGATCGGTACCCTAGGTTGGCTCAGAGACTCGCGGGAGCTAGCTCGACGATGGCCATGGTGCCTCGGTGGTGATGTGTGGTGGTGCTCCGGCCGTCTTTGGTCATGACAAGCTCGGGTGAGCACGGCTATGGTTCAAGGGTGACCTAGCTGAGTTCTATGGTTTGGATTGGGGTCCAGGGTGGCGCTAGTGAGGCATGGCCGCGTGCATGGCGGCATGTCGGCGCGAGCACGGCGGCGGCACGGTGATGTTCTAGCAGGAAAGGTGACGCAAGCGTGCATCCGTCTTCCCCGCGAGCTTCACCATCCTAAGGCTAAACCCTAACGCCTAACTGTGAGACAAAATGGCGACCGGACAGGCGCGGCCATGGTGACGTGCATGGCGACGGTGCTCTCAACTCATGGCGGTGTGGCTCACGTTCTGGCACCGGCGATGTGGTAGCGGCTCAATAAGCTATGGCTATAGCTTCTAGGGCCTATGACGAAGATGAATCAAGAGAGAGAGAGAGAGAGATTTGAGGAGCGGTGGATAGTGCTAGCCATGGTAGCTCGGAGCTCGGCGGTCGTGGCCATGGCGGCGACGGCAACAGCCCGTAGGCCTTTACCTTGGCTTGAGCTAAGGCAATGGTAGGTCGGCGAGGTAGAGGAGGTGATGGCCCAAGGGTGGGCGAGATGCGATGGATGGTGGTGTAGTGGTGGTAGCGAACGAGCTCGGCGGAGGTGCGTTGGCGATGGCGCGGCGCTGCAGTTCGCTCGGGCGCAGCGAGGGCAAGAGAGAGGCGAGGCAGAGGCGAGTGAGAGCGAGGGAGGAGGGAGGGCGTGTCACTGCCATTTTGCTGCCCGTGTCGGCCTGACTGGTGGGACCAATGTCGGCGTATGGCCGCCACGCAGCTGGCCGTGGCCCGGCACCGGTCGGCCACGACGTGCACGTGGTGCTGATTCAGTCCACCCTGAACCCGACTGACAGTGCATCTTCAAGTGATTAGTATTCGTAATCCATGGAGAATCAGTGCAAGCTTCATTAATAAAATTTGTAGAGCTACGTGAACACTACAAAAATACTTAAAGGAGTTTGGTCTAATTCTCAACTATTTTCAAACTACAGTGCCCCAAAGTAAGGTACTTTGAAACTAAAAACAGCTTCAACACTTGAAAAAATTCTTAAGTCACCAAACAATATTTTGTTGATACATGTGAGCTCCATTTGACCATGTTAGACACTAATTCAGCTGATGACCCTTAAAAAGTTTGTTACCCATGAGAAGAACTACAACTTTCATTTAGGTCACACAGCCATGCAAACAATCTAAGCTACTGTTCAACTTCGGTCAAACTAGCATCATGAAAATAGCATTTCAAAGTAAACCAACACTTGGAAGCAAAATTGGTTCATGTCATGAATACAAAAATTGTTTCATTTACCATCTTAGATGTGTCTAAGGTGTTTTGGTGACCTCACAACCATCTCATGCATTGGTCACATATGATCACAAGCATAATTAAGTATATGAGCAACATCCCATGTGATAAAGAGAAGATAAATGAAATGAAATTTCATATGCTCATGCTCATGAATGCTTGGATGATGCTTGTGCTCATGAAATGCAAATGACAAATGCAATGCTTAACACTGGGGTGTTACACATTTCGAAGCCTCTAACCCCTTCTTCCTTCTGCATGCACCACTCGGCCTACGCAACCCGTCTCCTCCACGTGTGCCTTCCTCGTGGGCCGCCACCGCTGCACTCGCCCGTTGCTCTGCCAGACGCCGCCACTGCACGCTTGCTGGCCGCGCCGCCACAAGCTTGACTGCTGCTTCGACAGACACGCCACCACCGCTGGAGCCCTGCATGCAGCTGTCGTTGGTGCTCCGTAGGCCATCTACTCTATTCGTGTGCGCAGGCTTCATCTAGGTCCACGCGATCCGGACGATTTGGAGAAGTTGATTGAACCCACATTTGGCAGGAATATCCCCTTGTGGGTTCGACCCAAGTTTGGTGGACTCCAAACCAAAGACCTAGGAAGCTGGTTCAACCCACTCCAACCCAAGTAAATCCAGTATCCAAACATTCTCTAAATCTCATAAACTTATTTTTATTATTATGGGATGGAGAGAGCAGTGGTCGTCATGGTCTAATCAAAACCGTCAGTTACGAGTTAAAAAACAAGGCTCCTACCGCGTCAGGCCTCTTGTCCATTCCTATACTAACATTAATCACATCTAGCATTCAGCTTGTTCGCTGGTTGATTTCTGGGGCTGATAAGCCCGATTGGTGCTGATTTGTTATAAGAGAAAGATACTGTAGCATGGTTGATGATAAGCCATAGTTAAAACCAATAAACGAACATGCTGATTAACTATTGTCTTAGAATTTCTTTTGACTTATTAATTTGGTATAAATAGTTAAAGTGGACTATGCCCAGTCAAATCCAACAGTTAACACAAAAATTAGTATTAACAACCCAAATCTTCTCATCATCAAATAAAAAAGGAGCATCAATTTGGCAAACCAAATACTAATTAATAATTAATAATTAACTAATGAACAAGTGCCACTAGATTGCCACATCGTTACATTTGGAACAAGTCCAACCTGTTAATGAAGTATCTACAACGCCGATGCGATCGATTCAGTGAAGCCATCCTCCGAAGTCCGATCATCTACCTAGGGCAGCGAACCCGCCGCCGCGCATCATCTGCTTGAACTCCGTGAAGTCGACGCGCCCGTCGCCGTCTGCGTCGACCTTGCTGATCATCTTGCGGCAGTCCTCGGCCGTGCGCCCCTGCTTGAGGCTGAGGCTGGCCAGCACGGACTGCAGCTCCTCGACGGTGATGTATCCGTCGCCGTTCTGGTCGAAGACGTTGAACGCCTCCCGCATGTCCTCCTCCTCATCGTGCTTGTCGCCGTCGCCCCCTGGGCCCTCCTCGACGATGGAGCTGTAGAGCCTGCCGAACTCCTCGACGTCCACACAACCATCGCCATTAACGTCGATCTTGTCCATCGTGGCATCGAGCTCGTCGTCGGGGATGTAGATGCCGAGGTTCTTGAGCGACTCGCCTAGCTCCTTCTTGGTGATCTGGCCGTCGCCGTTTTTGTCGAACATTTGGAACACCTTCCTTAGCTCCGACGAGTCCATGCTGCTGCTCATGGCCGCCTCCCTTCTTGCATGCTCCACCGATCGATCAGCCTCTCGGTCGAGCTCTTGATCACACTCCTGCAGCTGGCAGGGAAGAATTGGCTGGTAAAAGCCTTTGTCCACGGAAGAGAAAATATTGTGCGGTACGGAGGGATGGTGGTTGTGGCATAATCTATATTTGTTTCGCACTGCATTTGGTAATTGCTATTTTTGTATGTTCCACTTTTAGTGGGTAGAGATTATTCTTCGGTGTGCACCTGAGATCGGTTAGAATTATGGATGTAACAGGAAATCTCACCTCGCGTACTGTTTAAGAGCGGTTTGAGAGAGCTCCAGCAGCTCTAGATAAAAAAGAGTTATATCACTAAATAAAAACTGCATATAGTTAAGGTTCAACAATTAATATCAAGCATTGTTGTGTGCATGTGACTGAGCTTTGATCCCCCACAATTCACACTTTGAGGTCTATATAGACATGCAGCCCTCTTCATGGCACTCACACTATGGGAGAGACAAAATTCCCGAGTGTCACAGGCTTCCCCGAGTGCCAAAAATTGGACACTTGGCAAAGCCAATCTTCCCCGAGTGCAACACTCGGAGAAAAGCGGCACTCGGCAAAGAAAAATGTTACTTGACGGCCCAGCCCGTCCAAGTTGTTAAAACTAAAAAAAATTGCTTTGCCGAGTGTCGCACCCTGGCACTCGGCAAAGAGGCTAGCTTCCCCAAATGCCCTGTCATGGCACTCGGCAAAGGGCCTCTTTGCCGAGTGTCAGGGAAGGCACTCGGGGAAGAAATTTTTTTTTTTTTTTGCCCTATTTTTTTGTGAGGCCTTCTTACATTATTTAAAACTCCTTGTTCAAATTTGGGATAATTTTGACTTTTTTTTGGTATATTTGTTAATTTTTTTCGTTTCGTTGAATTTTTTTGCATACTTCAAATTTGAACTGCAGGTGCATGAAATAATGGAATTTGATGATTCAAAAAATGGTATTCATGATATTTGGTGTATGTTGAGGCCGTATCCAGGAACTCACATGAAATGTCGAGCATCTTGTTGACGTAACATGACGAGGTACTTGCGGGAAAAGTGTATTTAAATCATATAAAATCCGAACAAAGTCCGAAAATCACGAAACTTGTCGGGGCGTCATGTTATCGCATGTAGATGCTATGATAAAAAATTGAGAAGATTTAGAGTAAGTTGTGATGTCGGATGCCTAAAACCCAGACATCTACCTAGCCTTTTCTTGCTTTTGATAATAACCTGACCGGCCATATCTATATTATTTGGCCCTTTCAGAAACTAAAACTCAGCTAAAAAAAAGTCACTATGTTTCCCTCTCATTGATCTTGAAAGTGGCGAGAAATGGATCATGATGATGTGGCTGGCTTTTATTAGTGGAGGTTAATTGCAAACATATATTCCTGACATCGATTTGAGACTTCTAATTAACCCAGTACAGTACGCAGCCGGATCTGTTCTTTTCATCTTTGGTATTAATATGTTTCTTGATTCGAATGGACAAGGCCTACCTAAACCTTGGATCTGGTGGTATTAATATTAACTCCTTGAACGATCATTGACATTGGAGCATGTACAGATCAGCGAGTAGTAGAGTATAAAGGTACTTCCATTGGCACACTACTACCACATGCCATGCATGTTGTGCATGCTCTCTATTAATTTGTCAAGTTAGCACGACATATAGCTTGTATAGACAACGAATCGATCGATGTTTACTTGCAGGTGTCCGAACTCCTGAGCTGACCCGGCCCGGTTGATGAATGGCAGGTGATTCAGCTAATTAATTCATTGTGATATGTGAAGAAAATAAAGCCAAATCAACTCTTCCGCTGAGGGTGGAGCTGAGGCCACCGACTGGCCAAATCTGGTCCGCTTCAGTTCAGCTCTGCTCTCGATCCCAGGGCTTCCTTTCTTGGCATACAGTCCCTCCACCGACAACAACCACATAGGCGTCGGTCCTGCCTTGGGCGTGTGCTCAGCTCACCTCGATAGATAAGGTAGCAGCGACCAAATTTGCTAATAATAGCATTGTAATTAATTTTTGGGATTGTGTGACCATGATCAAATTACAACTGCGTAATGGAATCCGTGTGCTTAATTCTATCTCGGTCTATGCAACAGGGTGTGTGCTCGTGCTTAATTACTCGATCTAGCTTCTATTTGTACTCGCAAGTCAGGTTTTCCAAGTCTTCTATGTGCGTGACACTAGAAACAAGAGACGACGAGTGGTTCTCCCTGGGAAGAAGCGGGTTGTCGGAGTTGAAAATCAAGTGGACGAGGAAGAGTTCAATTATCAATCTAATGAAATCCCTCATTTCGATACTTCCATCCTCCCTAAGATTTCGGCGAGCGAACTAACACCATACCTAAGAGATGGTCATAAGGAGGATGTCCCCATGGCAAAAAGACGCCGAAAACGACAAGTACACACAAAATAATGCTAATGTGAGTTTTGAATATGCCCTGTGATTTTTTAGAACAAGGTGATTTAGCAAACTGCTTAACTTGTTTATTTGTGCAGGTGAGCTCAACTGCTTAATTTGCTGGTGCTGAAATTCGAGCAAATGGAATCTGATATATATGATATATATACTTGGTAGAGATAGGAGCTAGCATGTGGATGTATATGTTTAACTCTTGCAGTTGGTTGCTTTCTAGTGTAAAATTCTAGAACTGAGTAATTAATAACTATATATATATGGAATAAATTATTGGTGTTGGAGTTGGCATAAACATTATGTATGTTCATTAGCTATATATTCTGTAGCTGAGTAGATATACCCGCAGAGATAATGCCACGAACTCTATTAAAATGTCGTTGAACTAGTTCGGTCCTTACCACGCAACAGTGTTTTTCATCATAAATAAACACAGAGATGATAAAATTAAGCAGGAGCAGATAGCTAGCAACAGAGGCTCTGTAGCAGCACGGCAATGGTAAAGGAGGCCGTAGCATGACGCTTGTCAAGTGAGAAGGCCGGGAAGAAGGGCATTGCCAAAATGAATATAAGACAGCGAACCAGGAAGACTACCGCACTGGAATTTTCTGCTTGGGAGGGATAAAATTCCAGTTAATTTGCGGTCTTCAACAGAGAGGGGTTCTCTGGAAATTTAAGTAGGCTCAGCAAGAAATTTCAAAGAAGTAGGCTTTCGAAAATTCTTGTTGAATTTCTTGCTTGGGAGGGATAAAATTCCAGTTAATTTGCGGTCTTCAATAGAGAGGGGTGCTCTGGAAATTTAAGGAGGCTAAGCAAGAAATTTCAAAGGAGTAGGCTTTCGAAAATTCTTGTTGAAGGAAAAGGAATTTTCGGCTGAGAAGAATTTTTAAGCTAGCTTGGACCAGAAAATATAAGTCAAGGATGATTTTAGGAAGGTGTCTAGAGAAAATAGAATTGATCTTTTGAGCACTTAGGACACCTGCAAGTGATATAATTTCGATCCCGGCCTCTGTACAGTACGACATCCTATCACTGATCAAGAGAAGTTAAAATAAAATGAAATTATCTCAAGTTGAAGCATGACTTACTAGCTTTGAAGTAATAATTGAGGGTTCCCATTTCTCATTTGGACTTTTCACATCGATGATTAAATGAAAATCTCACGAAACAACCTTAGCTCTTTATTGCTTTGTCATTATATTCACCAAAACTCACAAATAGGATTTGTTGCACTTACAAACTCCCTCTTTTTGGTGATTGATAACAACACATATAAAGCTCACAATTTGGCACTTTGGATATGACAAGCTCCCCCTAAATATATGCATATATATTTTGAATCTACAATTTGGCATAAAAGGCCACATATATATGCACAATTTTAGTGAAAGTGCTAGGAAACAAATCATATACATGCATGCTTTCCTTGGTGTGCAAAGGTGTCACAAAAATAATCGTGATGCATATGACATGAATATCACACAACAAATAAATGAAGGCATACACCATCACAAGTGATATGATATTAGATAAGCAAACTAACATTAACATGCCCTTACAACCATTAAGTACCAACTAAAAATCACACATAGTTCATCACAATATATAGTCATACAAGCCCAAAATATAGATAGAAGTCAACAAGAGATATAGATCATGATACAAGTCCAAGGTCCATACATAAATAGCATATAGATAAATGAGGCAAACATATATTTTCTCCCCCTCTGGCGTCAAGCACCAAAAAGAAAGATGTCATTGAAGAACACGTGCGCCTCACTCGTCGTGGTTGACACCGTCATCCTCCTGGGTCTCAGCAGGCTGCTGTCCACCGGAAGTAGAAGGGTTGACACCGTCATCCACCTGGGTCTCACCGGGCTGCTGTCTACCGGAAGTAGAAGGGTTGACACCGTCATCCTCCTGGGTCTCACCGGGCTGCTGTCCACCAGAAGTAGAAGGATAGGAGGTGGAGTAGAGAACGTCGAAGGCATGCCAAAGAAGTGACCAGCTATATCATAGGTGGCGGAAGCCCATCCAGAGGACGAGCTGCCACCAACACCCTGCTGAACATGGGACAAGGCATGTGGCTGCTCGTCGGTGTCAAACTGTGTCTGCTGTGGCTGTACAAAAGACTGCTGAAACAACGGATTCCACCATTCGAGCTGCTGAGGTGCTGGAGGTAGAGGACGAACTGGGGACAAAGTCACACCTACATGCTCGGCAATCAACTTGCTCTGGACCTTAGCGCGGTGAAGCTCCTCCTGGACAAACCTGTGGTGCTCTCTGTTGGCCTCATAGATGGCCATGGACATCCCAAACACAGAGCGCATACCCTACAAGAGAAGACCTTGGACGTCATCAGGATAAGCTACAGCTGTGGCACAGGAGCAAGGTAAAGGCATAGACTGAGGCTGAGGTTGATTGGGCTTGCAGCCTCTCCTCTTTGCTGTCTCACTAATTCTCACAGGTCGGTAAGGCTCATGGCTCACTTCTTTGATGAACTCCTTCTGAGTGACTACCTCAATCATCTTCATGATATAGGGAGCATGAGTACAAGACTTCTTAGGATCCCAAGATGTGAACTGAATCTGCCTATAAATGAAGCCAAAAGCACTGAAATCCTCCTCATTACCCTCCTGAAAAGCTTTCAAGAAGGGACCCATAGAAGATAAAATCACTAAAGCACCACCAATCTTGGGAACCAAAGTTTGCCGGACCAACAAATTAAAATTGCGATAAACCTTTCTCATGTTGTTGATGGTGTAGAAGTCATCGGCAGTAGCATCCTCATTGTAAGCAAAAGAGAGATCAATGTCACGGTGAGGGTTGCAATTAAGCCGATGTTTGTCTATGTCATCAAACTCAAATCCAAGAATTTTGCCAAAGCGAGCATAAGAGACATAATAGGGCTGACCTTCAATGGAGAAATGCATATAACCATAATGATCAATTGTGGCCTTCTCATACCAAACAGTAGCAAAGAACTATGCAATGACCTCATTGCTCCACGGATACTGCATGGTCATGAGATTCTTGAAATTACGCCTTTCCAACATTTCAAGAGCTCTAGTCATCTCAGGATCACCCAATTTGACACAATGATCCCAACCAATGTACTTCTGTAAAACCACTGGCTGACTCTTGGAAAGGATCACTGAATCATAGTAGTCCAGCTGAGAGACAATCCCAAAGCGAGGATCACGAAAATCAACATCTCGAGATTCAGATGGACATTCAAACCTTTTGCCTAAGACCTCTCCTTGGTTGCTAAAATAGTCCTTAGGGCGAGGCGGATGAACGTCATCCATAAAACGCCAATCACCCGGATGGGTGAACAATTGCTCAGTCACAGGAACCAACTCGACATCCACATTGGGCAAGTACAAGTCATCCGCTGCTTTGCGGAAGGAGTTCTTGCCATGTCCTGCTGACACCTTGCGCTTGTTGCGTGGAGGCTTAGCAGTGGGCTGCTTCGCTCTCTTGGGGTGAGGCAGAGAAGCATCTCCATTACCCGACTCATCTTCAGGGTGAACCACCTTCTTGCGACCCATCCTGCAGTAGATAAAGCAAGAACAAGTATGAGATATGGCGCAAGATAAAGCTATTAATGGAGGACATGGACCAGTGACGGAGGAAGGAAAAAAAATTAGGTGTGGTGAAATTGATAACATTGATATCAAAGATTATTTCTCAGTATATTGGTTTATACACATATCAGAAATCATGATCGTCATCTACTATATAAGTAAAAATATTTTGAATAATTAGAAAGATACAAGTAAAGTCAATATACTAATCAAGCATCCCAAGTAATGAAATATTGTGCAAATCCGAGTAACTGAACTCTGAATTCTGAAACTCACCAAGACACTGATGCTAAACTTTCAGATGCATGTTCCTGATTAATATCTATCGTTCCTAATAATTTTCCTTCTTTTATTTGTATGTAAAAAGAAGGGCTCCCTATGTGTGGGATGTGAGATACTACTGAGTCAATCGAATGGACTATGGTCAGTCCTGGGTTCATTCAAGGAGTTAGTAGTTTACTTAGGAGCCCAAATATTACTGATCTGCAAGGACATAAAGTCAAAATTAAAGCAAATAAATCCTCCAAATAAATCCGCCTCGCCCGGCTATGGGGCACTGCCGCCGCCCCCCGGCCACGCTCGCCGGTGGCCCACCGTCCCCGCCCCTCGGCCACGCTCCCCGGCGGCCCACCCCCGCCGCCACCCAACCACGCTCCCCGGCCGGCCCCACGCACACCGGCCCGGCTCTGCAGAGCGGCGGAGGAGGAGGAAGAGAGAAGAGAGCATAAGGGGAGAAGAAGAGGAGTAGGGAGAAGGGAGGATGAGGGGAGAAGAGGAGGAGGAGAAGGAGAGGAGAAGGAGAAGAGAGGAGGGGAGAAGAGGAAGGGAGAAGAGGAGGGGAGAAGGAGAGGTCGACGACCGTGATGCCCCCGCGCCCACGCGTCACGCCCCGTTGTCCATGCCGTTTTCCCCGCGTCTAGCTGGAGACGAAGGTGATCCTGACTCCGCATCGCCTGACTCCACTGCCACCCAAGGTAAAGCCCCTCCCTCCCTAGTTGTCGGCCGTCGTGCCATGTATGTCGTTGCTGGCCTTCGTGCCGCAAATGTTGATGTGTGGGCCATTGTGCCATAAATGTGGCTGTCGGACTTCGTGCAAGCATTTTTCTTGCAGGTTTGGGAACCCTCCCAGTACAGGGGAGGTGCTGCTGAAATTTTCAACTTATATAATGTTGTGTTTCTTAATTGACAATCTTTTGTTCCTTATTTTGCAGGAGGAGAGAGTGATGGCGTTTTTCTGCCGGATGGACACCATCACAATCTTCCACGATAGTGAGATCTCCATGGATGCGAAAGAATGGTTTGGCTACACAATACTTCTCAAGGTCCCAACAATAGCAAACCAGGACCAGATTAATCGCATCCTGATACACCATGCAATTGTCAACATCTATGGGGTTAATGTTGCTTTGGAGAATATTCTACGACATGATCCAGATTACCTAGTGTGGGGCAGTTCAACAGAGCAAGCCACTGAAATCTTGAGAACACCAGAAATTGACATTGGGGGCGCAAAGATTGTCACGTATCCATGGACTCCCCAGCATGGTTGTGCAATACTACCCTTCGATGGCCTGCCACCCCATCCCCAACTCTAACACCAGCTAAACACCAACGAGGAGAAGAAGTTATGGAACATCTCAAGGTTACCGTTCGCGGACTGCCACCACATTTGCTCATCGCTAAAGCCTTAAGTATGGTCTTCGCGAACAAGGTTGTTGTGTTGTATCCAAAATTGAATAAGGAGGATCTCACTGCAACCTTCAAGACATATGCATCCCGAGAAGATATACCTTCTACATGGAATGTAGCCATCTGCAGAGGCACTGTGCTCTACATGTGGCCAATTTGGATGGACATAGAAGGATATGCACCGGGTCCCAACTTGGCAATCTGGGCACAATAGAACGGTAACTGCAGTTACAACAGAACCTTTGCAACATTAATGTTACACTGTTCGCTCTAACAAATCTCACTCTTATTGCAGCTATGATCAACATGCCTTTCCGATACACACTATTCCCAAAGGACGGTGTAGGGACTTCTTGGCAAGCAGGTGGAGGTGGACAAGCCGGTGGAGGTGGACAACAACTGGCTCTTCTGCAGTTAGGTATGGTACAACCATCTTATACATCGCCCCTAACCACATACTTGAGATGTATCACAATCCAATTATTAAACTACCTCATGCGGATTGTCATGCAGGTTACACAGTTCAATCACCCGGCTCTTCATCAGGAGATTCAAGTTTCGCCCTAACACCGGACTCGCCACCGGACTCACCACTGTACGGGGAAGATGACCCATTTGCCTCACCAGCACTTTTGTCCAGACCAACAAGTTGAGACCAAATAACCAAAGTACTTGAGTCACCAGAAGGGTACATTTAGTTCAGCTTCAATCCTTGTGTATAACACTGTCCAATTAAAACGACCGCAATTTGGACCTGAAGCATGATTTGGATGTAATGAAGGCAAAACTTGATAGTGTTGTTACTGATCTTTGGCAGTTGAAGGTGCAAGTATAGATTTTGAAGGACTACGTTATTATTGCAGCAGTGTGTGTAGGTGTAGCTATTGGTTGTCTTATGAGCAAAATTTGGAAGTAGTGAATGGTGTCGAATGTCATCTTATAGGAAGCAGTCTGTTGCTTACCTGATGCATGACAATCGCTAATTTCTGGAAGTAGTTTGATGTCAAATGTAGAGCTTTTATTGGTCCTAGCTGATGTATGACCAGATCATTGTGTTGGGTTTGTGAACCATCTATTTATGTTGTGAACTATGAGTGCTCGCCTAAATATGTTGTGAACTATTTATGTTTGTGAACATATATTATTCTTTGGCTGTTTCTTTTTTGTGATTTGAACATATATTGTGAACTATTGTCTTTTGAGTTGATATCCTGTGAACTAGTCATATGACTTATGTGTTTGTGCTTTAATTAATTAGTCCCTACAAAATATAAGTACACAGACTATATATCAGAAGCATACAACCAAATTAATTTATAAACATACAGCAACTGTAAGTTTAATAGATCACCATAAGCATACAGAAAAATTCATAAGTGCACAGAATTAACCTCACCTTTTGCTTATTGGTCATTACTATCCAGGGGCACTTGTTTTCTCACTTCTTCTCAATACATTACCTGGAATTATTCATCTCCCAAGCCGGAAATTCTAGTTAATTATTGATCGTGTCTGAGAGGACACTTCTCTGGACTTATTGTCCTCCTCGGAGCTGGAATTTCTTGTTAAATATCGGTGTATGCGTCTGAGACGACCCTTCCTGGAATTTTTCTCCACCCCAACTGAAATTTTCAGTTCAGCTCAGATCGATCTGGCGCGCCCAGAATTCCCTTACCCGCGGGGCCATGATTCTCTTACCCGCCCCATTACGCGTTGTAGCCGCCTGCTGACCGCGCGTCGGTCTCAACCCCTAGCCGGACGATAGCGGCATCGCCCGGCGGACTGGCCTTGGCCGTGGCCGTCTCCACCTGCGCGTCTTTGCGTTAAATGCGATCGGCTCTTGCTCCGGCCACTTGCGCCCGCTTCGGTCTGCGCTGCGACCGCGGCCCATCCCATTAGCAGCTAGCGCCCGTGCGGTGGCCGCTTTCGCCTGCCTCCAGCTGGCTCGCGCCCCAACGTGACCGCGTGCTTTTCCTCAAGGTCACGATGGGAGTCTCGCGCTAGCTGGTCCACACTCCGTGCACGTCGCTGCGTGGTCCCTGCTTCCCCGGACCGAGGTGCTTTTCAAAGGTGATTTCTTTATCCTCCAGATCTGGCTTGGTTCCCCAATTTTTTAGTACTTGCTTTGTCCTGATCTAGTGCTGCTTTGCGACCCATAGTTTTATTCTTTGCCAAATCAATAAAGCTAGGGTCTCGTACGTCATTCTTGCTCTATTCCTGGGAATAGTTCCCAGCCCAGCAGCTTGCTCGCTACTGTCCTTGCAGCCCGCCAGCCATTGTTACCCGTAGCCACCTGCTCTGCTATCCATGTTCTCCATTAGCTTTATCTTGCGCCAATGTGCATGATTACAGATCAGTTATGCATGGAGTGGTGAAGGGAAAAACGCTTGGTGACTGCTGCATACAATTTAATAAGAGTGCATGTTATGGTGCTACGCCAGATAAAATGGCCACTTTCCGGAAGTAGCTCACGCCACACAAAATGGACATGCAAGAGTTTCCACCCCTAGCATACAATTTGGGATGTGTGCTGTGTGTTAGAGGAAGCAAGTTTAAGGTGATGATTAGGCTCAGTCCAAATAAACTTGTCCACATGCTTAGGTGTGTTTAGAGTTTGTTTCATGTTAGTTTTGACTAATTAATGATCAGTAGCTGGTAATAGTGGTTTATGATCCATGTAATTAGGTACCCATGCCAAATCTTCTTAATGGACCAAGTGAAGAATTGCACATTTGTGCTGAAATGGCTACATGAGCAATTTCTGTTGAGTGGTTCTTTCCGTGATGTAAATCATGTATCTTGTGAATGTGCAAAATCATGCTTCAAGCTTTATGTTTAGAATGCACATCACAATACTACAAGTAGCAGTTCAGCATTCAAGTGAAAATAATAAAATAGTACAGCAGTGCCTATTATATATATAGTAGGAGTTGAGGTGTTCTACATTTCTATTGCTGCTTGTACCCCTATCACACAACTGAGAGCAATTAATAATTAAAAGCTATATTTAGCTTTAGGAAACATCCTTTTCATGAGTTAGCTATTGGTGATAACTTTTAAGTAGCTATCTATTTTCAGTGCATTATTATATTCTTATAAGCCGTAACAATTTAGTAGATAACAAAGTAGCTTTATTTCTTTGAGTGATTCAAATCATATGAAAGGGTGCTATATATATCTGCTCTACTAAAATACTATATGTTGTTTGCATATATATCTTGAGATTCCACTAATATTATTAAAATTATTATATGTTGGTACCTAATTAACTTGTACTACTTGCTCAACACTTCCAGACTGAATAATTAGGCATACTTGTGATTCTTTTGGTCAATAGTATAATATTTTGACCCTTTTGAGCTTAGCTTGTGCTTATATTGTCGTTAGAAAGACTGCTTAGATTACAATTATCTTTTATGTCAAACCTTAATTGTGTTATGAAAGGTTTCAGCCATGTGCTTGGATAAACTGAAGGCAACTGAGGTGATATTTTCGTGTTTTGTCTTTGTAACTTCTATGTAAATTCTTATACATATAGCTGTAGTGTGCTTTCAATGGCATCACAATATATATTTTGACTGATCCATAGATAGTTTGGCTTTGCTATTAGATTTAACCTATAATGAAGCGGCAATGGTTGAACTACTAAGCACTAACTGAAAGCATATAAATTTTTTTGTTTGTTTGTGTAGCATTTCTGCTTATAATATGGTTAGCATAGGAAAGATCTATTCTAGTTCTCAGCAGAGGACGCATCTGCTTCTGCTTCAATTTAATACTTTCAATACAGCCCATCTTTGTCACCTTACTGTGTGAAGTAAATCAAGTAAGAACTATTTGTTAGTTGAATTTATGCAATGTATGCCTTGTTAAAGTATTATCATGGCAGATGATTGATCTTAAATTAAAACCCATTTGCTTTTACTTAGTAGACAGATGTGTGACCTTAAATTTAAACTTAGCAGATAACATGTATCAGAATGGTTCAGGTAATAAGCCTGTCATTTCTAGTCATTTGGTTCCATGGTGATCTCTTATGTAGAGGCGTCTACTTAGAGTCAAATCCTGTGATATCTGAAATTCTTTATAGAGGTTGTGCGAAATCCTGTAACCTAATGTTCCTTTGCTGAATTATATTGTTGCAGTGTTTATGTTCACATCTTCAGGCTTTGAGCTGATATGTGGTGTCTTCAGTTAATCTAGCTGCACATCTAGTAGGAGACTGAGAGAGCCTTGCTGCACTCAGGTTAGTTAATTTTTTCATGAATCTACGTCTAGTCAAGGAATGGATGAAGTTCAGTACTATATATGAACTGCTGCCAACTGCACACAAAGACTAGGTGATTTGCTGATGTTAGGAAACAATTTTAGGAAACAATTTTGCTGATGAAGTTCAGTACTATATATGAATCTACATTTTACTGGATTGTCATCGATAGTTAATCCGTGCCTATGTTTTCTGCAGGTTTTGGGAACCTCCCCGTGCAGGGGAGGTTTTGCCGAAATTTTCAATTGACACTAATGTATTATCTTTTTATGCAGGAGGAGGACCCATTGGAGGGACCTAGGTGACCCGATCGTCTTCATCGGCGTTGCGGGTCTGCCTGCACCGTGTCGCGTCGCCACTGCACCGACTCGCCTCTGCCCTGCTAGCCTGACCTCACCAGCACCCTAAGTATAACCCCTCTATCCGTATCATGGTCTTAGGTCACGTAACCCAGTTAGGCGTATCCTGTCCGAAATAGATACGGTTGGAGGTATGCTGATCTTTGCATATCTATGACTGTATCTGTTTTGGATTGTCCATGTTTTTTGGACAGCCCACGGATGCGTAGATGGGTTAGTTTCCATGTTCTGCTCAGATCCGAGATGGAGTTTCGGCACCACCTCCCTGTTGTTCTTCGGATACACACTCTCCCTGCCAGGACGTGTATCGGGAGAGTAACGGGGAGGTGCTGCCGAAATTCTGTCTTGGATCGGAGTAGAGCATGGAAACTAACCTCATCTATGCATCCGCGGGTGGGATTAGGACCTATCCTCACCTATTAGACAGTAGGCACGCCGTGCAGATGCGACTGATGGTTATATTACTCCATTATGTGTATATGCTAGAGGATGGATAACTATGAGTGGATGTACATGGGACGCCCAAGTCAGGCTCAAATCACCCGTGAATGGATGGATAAGATCGAGAAATTCTTGGACCATGCATTAAAGGCAGCTAAGGAAGCGAGAGACACGTTTTGTCCCTGCAACGAATGTGAAAACAAGAAAAGAATAACAAGGGAAGTCATGATGAAGCATCTTTGCAAGTATGGATTTATGCCAAACTATACCCGGTGGGTGCACCATGGTGAAGCCTACCGTCCTAGAGAGGAGGTCGTGAGACGAGGCTTGGAGGCATTTGATGGTGATGGCGGGGTAGCAGGATGGTTAGGTGACTATGAGGATGCGACGTTCGCTGAAAGACCTATGGAGGACGAGCAGGAGGATGAGGAGGAGGAGCCAGACCCAAGCGCTAAGGCGTTCTTGGCCATGTTGGATTCGGCACAGAAGTTCCTACATGAGAAGACAACAGTTTCTCAACTAGATGCCATTGGGCGCCTACTGGGGTTGAAGTCCCAGCACAACATGACTCAAACCTGCTTCGATG